ACACACACACACACACACACACACACACACACACACACACACACACACACCTTTGTCCCTCTCACATACTCTCCTCACTTTCATACAGCTGTAGTCAGTTTAAGGTCTTGTGCACCTTCGCCAGGTTTGTATTTCTGTTTGTGCAAGGGCAATAACCCTTTGTGTCACTTCCCGTGAGGGGTGGCAAGAGTAATACCCCCCTCGCCTTCTCAGAACATCTTAGTAAATTGGCCAAGGCCCAGCATAGACTTGAAACTGTTTGCCTACTACTAACACAAAGAATAACTGTAGGATATATTCAACAAACAATCGAAATAGGCTTGGATCAAGCTATCCTCTTTGGTCTCTTCCCAAAACTTCGCAGGGAAGGCTTGGGCACTCGCTGGCCAGCCTGCCCGTGAAGGTAAACCCGGGACCGAAGCCCTGTGATGGAGAGCTGCGGCGCAGCAGGGCGCGGAAGGGCGCGGGAGGGCGCGCTTCTATGCCCTGGTTCGTAGCAGTCACCATCTCTCCAATAGTCGGCTCTTATTTAAACGCCGAGGACTTAGCTACCGCACCACTAAAGAAGTCGCAGGCAGAAGTTAGCCCCTTGGCAAAAAGACTGAGGGAACCCTTCATCTCTTCCCTGTGCCCGGGGGAGTCCTGAAGAATGCACCAGCTCTCAGAGCAAGACTTAACTCAGCGCTAGCCACACGCGCTTGGGACCTGTTTCAGTCTCCGCACAGACTGTCTCACGCAGACTCTCGATTCAAAAGTAAGAGACAGAGAGAGCAAAGGACAAACACGCCGCAAGCTCGCGCAGCGGTACTAATTTCAGGCGCCGGAAGAAAGTGTTGGGGACAGCACACACCTCCCTCTCTCCCCTCCAGACCCAAGCTGCCCTATCTTACGCCCTTGCCCGCTAAAAGACTGAACCCCAAGTTCACAACTTCCTCCCTACGTTTGTCCCTCCTCTACATTCCTCCGGTAGCTGGAAGGCTGTGAGTGGATTCCCTCACTGGGAACTGTCGTCCCGGACGGCGCAGGCGGCCAACGCCGCGGGCAGCGG